ACAGCCGTTTGGCAGTTATTCTGACAGGGAACAGTGGCTGAGGTGGCAGAGGGCGGGGAAGAGAAATGGATCCAGCCCCCAGCCAATGGGAGAGCTGGAAATGGCCAATACATAAGGGAATTATTATTAAAGATGTTTTGAAGTAAAGTATATAAAGTACTGCCTATTTTCTCACTGATTCTTTTTTCTAATATAGTACAGAAACCCTGACTATAAACTATAAGCACATTTCCCCTCATAATTGTATTGAGAAAAATAAGTACTTGCTTAACTTACTCTAACCCTTTCCAGAAAGACAGCTTGGTTTGTTCATCGATTATAATTTAGATTTGTCATGAAAATCCATTATCAGTGTAACTAAATATTAAACACACTATTTATGCATTTTTCCACATTTTCACTCCTACTTATGGACTACATCAATGCTTGCAGAAGGTTCTTCCTCTATTGTGGCTATTCATGACAGAAAATTCTGTGCAGAAAAGACTAGTCTGGATTAGGGGTGTGTATGCAGCTCTAAACCAAAAAAATAGCCGTTAAATACCTTATTGGTATTTATTTGCTGTTCTTTCAGCCAAATATAGGGGGGATGTATTTTAAACTATTGAGCATAGGCAATCCTGGATAATCCCAGTAGAACCAGTGCATGTACAGAGTGCCCATCAGAACCAGTGCCACTGTGGATATGCCAGCTCAACAAATTCAAACAAGGGGGTGGGGTCCAAGCCCAGCATAGCCAGTGCATCTATAGAGTACCAAGCACTACCAGTGCAAAGTAGAAGAAGAAGAAGAGAAGAGATTGGATTTATACCCCACCCTTCACTTGGAGTCTCAGAGCGGCTTACAAACTCCTTTCCCTTCCCCTCCCCACAACAGACACCCTGTGACGTGGGTGGGGCTGAGAGAACTCTGTGTCAAACGGCTCTTTTTCAAGGACAGCTGTGCCAGAGCTTGTGACTGACTCAAGGTCACATCAGCAGGTGCAAGTGGAGGAGTGGGGAATCAAACCCGGTTCTCCCAGATTAGAGTCCGCACACTTAACCACTACACCAAACTGGCTCTCCCAGTACTAGTGCCCAGAAAACCCCCTCCCCTTATATGCTTTCTTTTTCCCCTCCATTCCTCCTTTGCCGGTTGGTTGTGGGCTCCCCCCCCCCCCCCCCCGGGCTTGGAGTTGTTGAGCTGGCATTGCCACAGCAGCACTGGTTCTGCTGGGCACCCTGTACATGCACTGGTTCTGAGTGGATTGGAACATCCCCCCTCTCATTTTCTACTGAAGAGACTCTCTGGTTTGGCATCAGTCCTTGTTTTTTTTTCTGATTTCCCCCCACCACTGGAAACAATGGAGGATGGGGGCACTTTATTTGGGGGACAATAGAGTTGGACCCCCTGGCCCAATCTTTTTGAAACTTGGGGGGCCTTTTGAGGACAAGCACCAGAAGCTATGCTGAAAATATGGTACCTCTATCTTAAAAACCATCCCCCCAAACTCCTGGACACCCCAAATAGATTCCCCATTGACTATAATGGTCCCATAGGGAATAATGGAGGCGGAGGAAAACTGGGATTTTCGAAAAAACCCCCAAATCTGAATAGCATACCAGTACTGAAATTCAGGGTTTTTTTGGGAATCCCAATTTTTTTGGGGTTCAATATATCCGAATCCAAAAAATCCCATTTTTTGTGTGTGCTCACCCATAGTATGTATTCTAACTTACGTTTCCAGGTTGTCACCTTCAAGAACTGTTTGAACTGGCAGGTAGCCAAGCCTAGGGTGTTTAGCAAAATACTTCTTTGATCGAAACTTGTTCTTTAGCACCTTGGTGAAATCTCGGACATCTTCTCCTGATGTTGTCTAGGAAAAAATTTACAGAGATCAAATTAAACATTTGCATTTCTAGGTTAGTCATCTGATCTATTAGGGGGTGCAGTGCATTTGCTAACAGTGAAGAGAAGTCTGTAGTTACTTCCTGGTTCTGGGAGGGAGTCGTTGGTATGTTATTTCCGGTCACCAGTTTTTTCTCCCGCGCCCTCCGTCCTCTCCCAGCCATAATATCAACAAGAAGTAAGTTTTCCAAAACAAGACAAAAGTTATGCGATTTAGTCCTGCTTTGTATACTTTATCAGTTTTTGCATTCGCTTAACTTTTTATGCGTTTCTTTTAACTCACAGTCTTTTTATTTCCAATTTAAAACCGTTTTTAAAGTTTACTCAAAAGGGGGGGGTGCTTGAATTCCTCTCCCCCAGCGCTTCAAACTTAGGCGCTTCCAATTACTACCAAGGTTCAGTTTACTTTCTTCACCTGGCCTAGAAATCAAATAAATAAATGAATGAATGAATAAATATGGCATGTACAACCCACTCCAGTCAGCATTCTGGTGCAGTCTTCTGTACAAATTATAGCTCCCAGACACAGCTCGTTTATCAGCCAAAGCTGGTAAAAGGTGTTCTTGGTCACCACTGCCACTGCTTATCCAAGAAGATGTGGCAGCATTCTGCTACGTCCAGCAACACCCCAAGGCTATGAACCTGCTCCTTTAAGGGGGAGTGCAACCCAATCCAGTACAGGAGATACCTGAATTTCTTGAATCTCCTTCAATGTACCATAATAGAAAATGTCTACTGTGAAGGCAGTGTGCATATGTGTGTGTGTATGTGCACACTGCACATTCTTCTTTAATATCACTGAAGTAGGAGTCTGGTACTCTCCTTCCTTCAGCTATAGCCTTTGAACACTAGCAACTTAAGAAGAGCCCTGCTGAATCAGACCAGTGGCCAGTATCCTGTCTCACACAGTGGCCAGCAACAACAAAAAAAGGAACAAGACACAATGTAAAGCAGTTTTATTAGATCTTCTACATCTAATAAAACTGTGCTACCTTGCATCTTCTTCCCCCACACACACTGGTGAGGCTTTATCATTCTGTCCCACCAAATCCATACAGATGATCCAGTTCTGCAGAGACCTAGGAGCCTTTTTCCACTGTCCACACCTAAAGGAGTGCTTTCAACATACCCAGGAAGGACAAGAAAGAACAGACATCTCTACCACATACCATCAGACAACATCTCTACCACATACCATTACACTGTCTACTGAAGAATAGCTACCATCCCTCCAACCCAGCAATGAACAAGGTACTTAACCACTAACTGCCATCAAAACACCTCTACAAAAAAAGAAACTTCGCATGGACACCTCCTGATGGTCACCATGCCACACTGGATCTCTGCACTCAATGTATGCTTTCGCCATAGATGTGATTGACAGACACTATGATGTGATTGACAGACAGACAGATGTGATCAACAGCCAGCCAGTTTGGTGCAGTGGTTAGGAGCGCGGACTCTAATCTGGGAGAACCAGGTTTGATTCCTCACTCCTCCACATGCAGCTGCTGGTGTGACCTTGGGTCAGTCACAAGTTCTTTCAGAGCTGTTCTCTGAAGAGCAGTCCTTGAAAGAGCTCTCTCAGCCCCACCTACCTCACAGGGTGTCTGTTGTGGGGAAGGGAAGGGAAAGGAGATTGTAAGCCGCTCTGAGACTCCTTCAGGTACTGAAGTGTGGGGTATAAATCCAATCTCCTCCTCCTCCTATATCACACAACAGAACCTCAGCCATGCTGAAAGGAAGGCCACAGACAGTCTCAGGAACAATCCAGATATTATAATTAAAGAAGCAGACAGTGGAGCTGTTGTCATCATGGATAGATCAGACTACAACCAGGAGGCTCAAAGACAACTTCCAAACAGTACTTTTTACAAACAACTATCCTCAAATCCCACATAGCAATACAAAAAAGAACTAAACAAAATCATGAAGAAATTACCCCTACACATACAGGAAAAAGTCCGTTCAGACACACCACAGGAACCTCGACCAGATACCTTTTACCTTCTACTGAAAATACACAAGCCTGGCAACCCAGGACACCCCGTTGTCTCAGGCATAGACATTCTCACCATGGGGGCATCTGCATACATATTCTAAGACACTATGCCATTAATGCCCCTAGTTATGTGTATTTCCTGAGGAAAATACAATCTTTGAATAGCCTTCAGAAAAAACTATTTTGGCAACAATGGATGTGGAATCTCTGTACACCAACATGCCACATAAAGATGGATTACAAGACATAAGAAACATGATTTCTGACAACACTACAGCTGATCTACAACCACATCTGTTCCAGTCCTACAGACAGAGATTCTCACCTGAGGGATCTACAACAAACCTTTGTGGAACTATAATATCCACCAGGTGAAGTCAAGAAACAGATCAACAAAGCCGGAATGATGTCCAGAGAAAGCCTGTTACAAGACAGACCCAAAGGAGACAGAACACTACTAGCAGTCAAATAGAGCTCTGAACTCAAAACAGTTTAATGCACCATCAACTTACAACCTCTACTGAATAACGACAGTTCTCTTTCACAAGCACTGGGGACAGACTTTTTCTTGCACAGAGTTGTTGTTGTTCAGTCACACAGTCAATACCGTCTCTTAGCGACCCCATGGACAACATCTCGCAGAGACAGCCCCTTAATCTAAAAACAACTCCTCACCCACAATAATACAACATCTAATGAACATGGACACTGGTACAGTTTGCAAATAAACCCAGATGCCAACTTTGCTGTCACATACACGCAGACAACAAGATTAATGGATCTAACAACATCAAATATGCCATCTGAGATTCATTCACTTGCTCATCTTCTAACATTGTATATGCCATTAACTGCCAACAATGCCCTTCAGTTCTCTATGTAGGGCAAACAGGGCAAACCCTATGCCAAAGGATAAAGGGACACAAATCTGACATCACGAATCACAAGACTTAAAAACCTGTAGCGGAACACTTCAACCTTCAATGGGCGACCTCAGAGTAGCTGTTTTATTGCAAAGAAACTTCAGGAATAGACTAGAAAGGGAAATTGCTGAGTTGCAAGTTATTACAACAATCAGAACCATGGAGTCCCCAGGACTTTTTTTTTTTAATAATCAAATTTATACCCCGCCCTCCCCGCAAAGCAGGCTCAGGGCGGCTTCCAACAACCTTAACAGGGGTATTGGTTTCTTATCTCACTACATATGCTAACTTATGTCACCGTAAGTCAGCTGCAACTTGATGGCAATTTCCACCAACATTGTATGAAAAAAATAAGGAATATTTTCTGGTCCGTCAGAAAAATTTGAGGGGACAGACTATTATAATCTAAAAATCTTTTAAAGCTTTAGTGTCAACTAGGGATGGGTACAAACTGGGGAAATGGGGTTTGTCCTGGTTCGTAGGGTCACACGAACCACCACGAACCTCCCTGTTTACCAAACTGGTTCATTTTGTGAGGTTCATGATACGGGGGGGGGGGGGCTGATATCTTCCCTCCCTTCTGCTGGGGGCAGCTCCCTGAGGCCAGCAGAATGGAAGGAGGGGAAGATGTGGTAAAAGCCATTTAAAGGGAATGTTCCCTTTAAATGGCTTTTGCAAGCTGTGCCATGTGCGAGTGAAGTCAAAGCTGTGAGTTCACCCAGAAGTCCAACCCCCATTGCTTTGCTTGATGAATTTATTGGCAATGCAAAATAGAAAAGGGAACTTTGGTGTGTATCAGAACAATATTATCGCAAAGCTAATCACCGAATGTAAATAGCACTACTATGAACCTTTAAATAAACTTTAATGCATTGCGTTCATTTGTATCTTGCATTTTCTTAATCATACATTCTTTGAGAGATCTTCTAAAAGCTACAGATCACGTTGGTAATTTTTCACAAAGCCCTAAGAGCACAATTCACACATAATAACAGCCAGAACTTGAATACAAAAACATGTATATATTGATGCCCACAGTTCAAATCTTTCAAAAGATGAAACACTTGTTTCCAAAGAATCCCGTGTTGGTGTTATTGTTGGATGTGCCTCCAGTATGGCATGTTTCGAATGTCTTCAACAACAACCTCCAGCCAAACCTGACCTTACTTGGAAGAATACAATCATAAATTTTAGGAGCTATTTTTCAAGTTCCAACAAGTGTTTCAAATGCTGCAATCCGTTTAGAGGCTAGCCTGGTTTTGGTGGAGGCAAAACTGTGGATTGTTGCTTTTCATTATTGGTTAAAACTGATTTTTTTTTCACTCACTGGCCTTATTCATACTATGATGCAAGATAACTTTGTTCCTTCATGGCAGAAAAAGATAGAAGATAAACTGGTTTATTTTGGTTTTTCTAATCAGTTTATACTGTCTTTAGGATATGCTCAGGCTAGATCAGTTCTAAAACAAAGAATATTAGATGTTGAATGACGGATGTGAGTAGGATTAGGAACCCTGAATTTGATGTAAGTACACTTAACAAGATAATTTTGAGACCTTGCATCAAATATTTAGATATCTGTAATCATAGAATTTTTTTTACCCTTTTAAGATTTAATGCCTTACCCTCAGCTATATAGGAGGCCAGAATTACTAGATCACTGAGGAAAAGTTGTATATGTGGGATGGGAACTGATGAATCATTGGAACATTTGATTTTCGATTGTAGTATATATCATAATATTATGGAACTTCTGATTAAGCCTATTAACTCCTACCCAGGTTGCAATAGAAGGATACTTTTGTCAATTATGCTGGCAGGTGATAATCAAAAGTGCGTGCGTGCCACAACCACGTCACCTGAAAGTGACGTGATCACACTGAGCATGCTGGGGGCAGGGCCACGACCATCCGAGGGAAAACCATAGAGGTTTCCCTCGGCTGACCGTGGCACCGCCCCCAGTGTGCCCGGCGTGGTCGCGTCACTTCCGGGTGACGTGCACGTCATGTACTTTGGGGGGTGGGGTTCCCCCCGGGGGCCCGCCCCGCCGCGGGCGGGGAAGGGGCCTCTGGGGCGGGGTTTTCCCCGCCCCCCGGGGGGACTTGGCAAGCCTAGTTATTTACTTGCCTCTTATTGTATTGATTGCCGGTCTATGACCGTAATAATAAATTGAATAAATTAATTGAACAACCAAACTGAAAAAAAACTTCAAGGCCTAAGTTAATGCCCATAGATCGTATTCTGACATATACCCCCCCCACACACCAGCTACCAGATTTCTCTCGTGACCATATGAGCTAAGAGAGTTAAGAGAGTATTGTTGCTGAGTTGGGATTTAATCCCAGGTCCTCGCCAGGTTTACCAATCAAACACTCCACTGAACTGGCTCTCAGTTGTATTCCTGCCACTTGGTTAAGTTTGGAGCTGCCAATAAAATTCTTTTCAGTATGTAGCTCCATAGCTACTTTCTCAAACACCTGCACTGAAGGAAGTAGCCAGAGACTGTTGTTTGTTGTCTCGTTGCCAGTGTGAATTGATACGTTGGTGGATTTGAGTAAGTGTCACAGGAGAAAAAGCAGGGTTAAATATTATCCAATGGAAAAATAAAGGGAGAGGGGAAGCAGACAGTACTGACCACCTTGACACTGGAATTTTACAAGCTAAACCAAAACAGCCTAAGAAAGTTAAGCTGTTTCCAGTGATGTAAACAACACAGCATCCTCAAATGTAATGCCAACTACTGAATGGTAACAAAAGGTGTAAAACAGAAGGCTCCAAGCTGTAAACCCTCTCCAGACCCCAATGAGCCCCAAATTACCAAGATCTTCTTTAGAGAAGAGTGCAAAGGGTCTCTAGCAAAGCAAAACTTGCCCATCTCCCAAGCAATCACTTGAACCTATCAAAAACATAAAGCTAGCAGTGCAGCTAACATATTGTAACAAGATCCTTCTCGAAAGAATCCTTCTTAAAAAGCATATAACATATCTTGGCCTTTTAATAAAACAGTTTGCTGTCACTGTGTGATTTCCAAACAATTCTGGAAGGTTTTAAGATTGGTTTATTGGTTTTTAAGGTGCTGCATGCACAAAATCTATTTCACTTTGCTTGACTTATTGCTCTATTTGTTCTTAGCCAGAAATGAAAAGTGCTGAAGTTGACCTTTTTTCAATTCCATAATTTCCCTCTGAGGCTTAAAACTAGAGGGTGGCTTTTCCCCTCCCTGCCTTTACACATCTCCGCCATGGAGTCAGTCACTTCTGTTGTGAACTTCATTGTGTTCAAATAACTGAACATTTTAAATTACACTGAGACCTTTTTTTAACCTAACTTTTCCTGGTGCTTGAAACTTTATAGTAAAACAGACCTTTAAATAAATGTTCACAATTGCTTTTGTGTTGATTTATTTAAGGGAGCTGATAGGCGATGCAAGTTGTGCTGCACAGGAATTCCGTAATTTAGTTCATAGCTTGTCTGTAACTCCTTATAATTCCAATAAGAGACTGATCTGCTATTTCTTCGCTGGCTGCCCCTGCTGCATACCATTTATTATATACTGACTGCTATTTTTCTTAGGTTAACAAGCAACCCCATTTTTTTAAAACATCACTATACAGACTCCTTTGGTTAAAAACAGTTAGTGTGCCATGTAGCTCAATCATAACTACACCACACTAATTATATTCCAAGAATTGCTGCTTTTGTATTTTTCTCATGCCTCCCACCTCTTTCCTTGCTTTGTGCATGGAAGTCAAATGAAAAATTCCTGAACGATAAGAACCAATCATATTAACACGATAAAGACCAATCACTGTTGTTCCCTCCAGTCACAAACCTTAACTCTGATTGGCCTGTTGACAGAAGCAGCCAATCAGAATGTGCAGTCTAGGATACCAGGTTTTAATATACTGAATCTGAAGCGTAGGCATGCAGTAGAAATCATAATACATAACAGTAAGGTTACCAAGGTGGTTTCTGAATTCAACTCAAGGTTATAACATTTAAAGCCTCATTGCTTATGACACATATATCTGAAGGACTTCTCCCCACACGTTTCCATATACCATATCTGGTATACACCTCCCCAAATTAAAATGGCCTGCTTAGTATCTGCTAGAGCCTGTTCACTTTCTGCAGTAACTCCCATTTTGTAGAATGTGCTCCCTAAAGAGATGGGGGGGGCAATCTTTTTTAAAAACATTAAGATGTAGTATAAGCCTATTTTATTGAGGACATTTAACGAGGTTTAAACTACAGGCATTTTCTTGGTGGGGGGATAATGGGGATTTATTGCATGTTGCATGTTTTTAAACCTAGGAATTGTAAGTTTCCTTGAGCCACAAGTGAAAGGTAGGGAATATTTTAATAAATAAATATTATATAACACAAAGGTCTAGGCATTGGCTTTATAGAAGTTACAATTTGTCTGCCTTTCCAGAAACTCATCCCTAAGTGACTCTGTCAACAAATATGAAGAAACAGCTCACGTTGTCTGAGCCAGGAGTGAGTTACTGAAAGGACAACAATGTTGGGCTGCCTCATTTCCCAACTGAAGACCATTTTCATAAATGAGTTCATATGAATTTTTTTTGGAAATCTGTTCTTCATTTCTCGCCCCACATTTTCAAAACAGAATATACAAGCCACCAAATGGAAATGTGGATGTGATGCTAGGAGAAATCAAGACCCATGCAACTGAAGTGGCCAGGACCAGGACATCACTGAACTTTAGAAACAGCCATGGACCACTGTGCCAAAAGCTTCACTCCTTGACCCAGCATTACCCATATGTATTATGCAGTGCATATTGAACAAATAAAATGGGAAAGCATATTCCATATATATATATTTGGTATTTATTAGATTTTAGCATTTCTATAAAAGTATCTTAATGTCATGTGTAATCCTGAGAACATCAGGAGGTATTATATCCAAGAACAGATATTAGAGGTTTCTTGCGAACATCCTGGTATCAAGATATCTTTCTCAATGTGCCCTCAATGTGCATCTCAATGTGCCCTCATATGTGCATACTGAAATCCAGGGAATGAGGCCATGAACAGACAAATCTGTCTGAATCTGATAAAAGCTCCAGGTTTGCAGATAAAACAAACAAACATCAGTGGTTAAAACCCTCCAAAGTGATAGAAGCAGCACCTGTAGCTTTAAGAAATAAATGCTCCCAAGTGGCCATTGCTGGCAACCTATTGAGTATTGCCAGCCTTCAAGCCTTGGTTTCTGACAATAAAATGCAGGGGGGGCAGGGTCCTTTCTAGGACTGTGTGATCTTTGGAGGAGGACTCAGTGGGGCCAGGCCTGGCAGCAACCACCATGCAATACTCACTACTACATGATTTGCATGACTCACACAGGCCTGGCTGCTTGCTACTGTTCAACAGCACCTACCTCCTAATAGCCAATGTGTTTGTAGTAGTCAGAGTTTCAGATTACGATCTGCAAGACCCAGGTTCAAATCTCCACTCTGGCATTGAAGCTCACTGGGTACCTTTGTGCCAGTCAACCTAACCTACTTCACAGGTTGTGAGGATAAAATAGAGCAGAGTGATGTAAGCTGCTTTGGATCACTGCTGAGGAAATGATGCTATAGATGAAATAAATAAATAATAAATATATCTGAAGGACTTGATGACCACAAGAAACATTTGGAATGAGCCTAAAGTAGATCTCTAAACCACAGCTTAGGTCCATTTTTTGAAGCCACAATGCCCTTTACTTCTATGAAGTTATACTCCATAGAAATGTGTTGTTCTCTTCAACATTTTAAGCTTGAATTAAAAAATAGTTACTTAAGTAAGACAGATCATATGTCAAAGAAAAGAGAGAAGGGCATAGTATGGAATAACCTAAGAACAATCCATTAGAAAGAGTCAGTAAATCAGTACTCACTGGTATACAATACTCCACCATTGGGTAATGTAATTTATGACCCTTTGCTGTACGGCCAGAGAAGAAACAGCTCTGGCAGACATCATAGTTGAAATGTTTCAGGCTCCGATACCTGTGGATAGAATGGAAGAATGATGAAGCCTCCTATTTGAGGAAGAGTCAAAGCTTTTTGGCTGAGCTCCACAGGCTATTCAGTTTGATGTAAAACTTTAGATAACCTTACTGTCTAGCTTTGTTACCCTTAGGGTGTGTATCGTTGTGTGCAATGCTAGTGTGATGTCTTCACAACAATGCTACTACATCAAGCTATGTGATATTAGAAGCACTGATAAGATAATACGTTAAGCTGTCCAATTAAGCAGAAACAAAGAGAGTAACTTTTTAATCCTGTGCTTTTAAAGTGTCTTGAAATACTGGGATCTTTCCACTATTAGAAATAGCATGCAAGATTAGGTTCAATTTATCAGATTTAGCAAAAGTGTTTTTAGTATAGTTAGTGTTTTGTACAGCTCATCTTAATCATTTATGAGCAAGGCAGACATGTCGCAGAGTATCATTTGACTAGCTTTATGATTGGTTTCTGACATGTCACACTGCAGCCTAATATTAGAAGAATACCGAGTAAAGTCCTGACATAGTATATGCTGCTGTTGTGCTCCAGGAAAATTATATGTACTTCTCCTTCCAAAACATCTTCTATCTGTACCACCAGTGCCCTTTTATGATCTAATCCACACACTGGAAACCCAACTGTAACAATCATTTCCACCATTTGATACCAGCTTTTGAGCATGAACTACATCACTCTGGATCATGACCAGTGCACTAGACCTTCTAATCACAAATACATACCAGCCTGTTCTGTGTAACCACTTCTTCAGTCACTACACCAGACTGTATATGTAATTCTTAGTATAGTATAACTTTCATGCAAGTGCTTCATAAAGTGATCTTGCAGAAGCACATTTTAGTAAAATCCCTGCATATGTGATTTTGTAGTTGCCGAACAGACAACTGTTATATACACTTCCTTCTTCAGCTACACCATAGTATATCATTTTAAAAGCAAGATAGAAAGGTAAGGAATCTATTTTCAGCTGTAGCCTTGAGCATGACAGGGTTTGAAAAAACAAAAGTTGTATAATTGCAAGAGTATTTATATTTATCTATTTTAAAAGGCTCAGTCTTTCAGATACCTTTCTTAAAACAATTCATCAGAGTGTCAATGATACCATACCCTCTTAAGCTGAAGATTCCCTATACAAGATGAGGATCAAGAGTAACCAAAGTATTAGCCTAAAAATATCAGGAGATCTATTTCTGAAATATTATTGATTCCTGTCTAACTCTTAGTCCAAAGGTGCAATAAATGTGTGCACCCATTTTCACACATTACTGATTCATCTATTTTGACAACTAAGTCAAACTACCCTAGTGTATAGATTGGCCTGAGTTCAGGCAATCAGACTAATGCTAGTGAATTTAAGTAAACAATAGATAATTCTGCCATCTCCCTTGCTAAAAGAGCCTAATATTTTTCATTTTTAGTTTCATTTTAGTTTTAGTTTCATCCAAAGATGTGAACAAGAGCAAATGGTAATTCAATCAATAAAATGGGAGACGTGTATACAGTAAGTATGCATTTACATACGTTAGTAACTGACAAAAGTTACACATAAAAAGATAAACTGTCAGACTATTGGTCTATCAAGGTCAGTACTGCCTGATTGGCAGTGACTCCCTTTCACATCACCTAGTACCAGATCCTTTTAACTGGAGATACTGAGGAATGTTTGGCTTGAAAGGCCGGTGCTGTATCTGAGCGATAGAACAGGAAATTATTAACAGCTAGAAAAATATTTTGAAGAAAATTCTAGTATGAGACTTCAACACAGCATAGAAATTTCCTACTAGGTTGTAAATAATACATGGTACTGAAACTAGAGGGCAACATGTGCTGTTAAAGATCGTAGCTTCTCTGTCATCTATGTCAGAGTTACATTTTATAAAAATTATGGAGTTTCAACACCTAAAATATTCTTTTTCTAATAAAATCTGTAGAGGGGGGGAAAGGGTAGAAGGGATGGGCAGTGCAATATATGTGATTTCAGCAGTGAAATGAAATGAAGAAAGGCAGCTCACATTCTTTTCTACAGCAGGCTCTGCTTAATACAGTCCTACCTGGGGCAGATATACTACCATCTAGAATTGAGTGACTGCTTTAGTTAACTTCAGCCGGTATTGGTGCATTTTATATCTAGATTTAATACAGATATCTGTTTTTCCCCGATGCATAAATATATGTTTATAATTTAGAGGATTACATTTAGAGATGCTGAATCAGCTGTTTCAACATTTTATGTACAGCCCTGTTTTTCATGACCTCCACTGATATATTATTGGCCATATAATTCACCTTTATGATTGGATGTTGTGAAATTCAACTTACTGCATATCAATACAAAAGTAGCCATCTTCATAGTTTCTTTGTGCTCTAGATATTTGTGACCTTTCATATTTTCTTTAGTGCATTACTGTTTCCAATGTTTTTGCCCCCAAAAGAAAATGGTGGCAAGTTTTATATATTTATGTAGAGAAGGTGCCTTTAGCATACATGAATTTTTGCCTTACAACGGAATAAGAAACAAAAAAGCAATTTGAAGGGAAATACTTATCATAATCATAATAATCATCATCATCAAGATTTCCCTGAGTACACAAGGCTCTGGGCAATTTATGACAGGTTAAACAATATAAAAGTACATATTAAAATCAACAATCAGTTAATCCCAATTTCATAGTCTCCAGATGGCATCCATAATTTAATCCAAAATCTACTCTGGACTGTTCTTCTATCTTGTGAGCAGGTTAAGGAGGAGGATGAAATGGGCAGAATGGAAGAAAAACCGGTGCCAGCTATGACGGAAAACCGTTGCTGCCCTCAACCAAAAGCCCGGTAGAACATCTCTGCCTTACAGGCCCTGCGGAATTGCATTAAGTCCCATAGGGCCCTGATGGAAGTTGGCAGAGAGTTCCACCAGGTTGGAGCAAGGGCTGAGAAAACCCTGGCTCTGGTCAAGGACAGCTGGATATCTTTAGGGCCAGGGATCACCAGCAAATTGCTCTCAGCAGAGCATAGTGCTCTCCTGGGGACATACCAGAGGAAATCAGTGTTCACTCTAAGCTGAGTTAGTGTGAGCTAGCTCACAGTTTTTTAACCTCTGGCTCACACATTTTTGTCTTAGCTCTGGAAGGCTGGCTCCGGAGCAAACTAATTTATGCAGTTGCCAAATCGCTCGCTCACAACTTTAATGCTAACAGCTCACAAAGTAGACTTTTTGCTCTCAAGACTCCACAGCTTAGAGGGAGCACTGGAGGAGATGGTCCCGAAGATATGCAGGTCCCAGACTGCTCAAGGCCTTAAAGGTCAATACCAGCACCTTGAATCTGACTCACTGGAAGCCAGTGTAGCTGGTGCAGCACGGGTTTTATATGTGCTGTCCATGGTGTTCCAGTCAGGACTCGCGTTGCCGCATTCTGGATGAGATGGAGTTTCCGGGTCACTCTCAAGGGAAGGCCAGTGTATAGTGAGTTACAGTAGTTTAGTCTGGAGGTGACAGTTGCATGGATTACTGTGGCTAGATGAGGACGCAACAGGAAAGAAGCCATTTGCCACGCTTGGCATGAAAACCAACCTTGTGAAACTTCTGAAAACCAATCAAATAAAAGGGGTAAATGATACACTACATTATTCAGGTCTTAACCAGAAAACTACAGGGGTTAAGGAGCAGTAAGTCAGCGAGTAGCAAATATAGACCTATAATAAGGCAATAAGTTAAAGGTGCCTGTTCTCTAGAAAGTACCAAGATAGAAGCGGGGACAGCAATGCCATAAAACAAGATGCTTTTTATATTGTTATCTGCTTAAAGGAGTGGAGATTCATGCCAGGACATTATACTTTTCAGTTACTTCAAATGATTTAATGGAGAGACTACTTGAGGTTTGCTATTTTATTTTGGATTTAACTGAAAATGTTTTTAACTATTATTGTAAGTCACCTTAAGGAAAGGCAGGATATAAACGTTTTAATAAATAAATACATAAATATAACTTCTATGTGTTTTAGATTTTTAGTAAACACTAGATCCTTTAGGTAACATCTTTTGAAATATTAATATACTGAACTCTCTAATGTCTGTGGTAGCTGAAAACATAAGCCTTGAAACAATTTGTGAATCAAATTATAAATGCTAACAGAAAAAAATGAAAACTATTAAGCAACAATCTGTCATAAATACGAGAAGATAAATTAAAAACAGAGATCTAAAAAAAATCTAACATTAAGAACCACAAATAGTACATGTAGAACAAATATTAGAGTCAACAATACATTATGACAGCAGTGCTTGGTAAATCATTTAATTCCAATACATATAGACTGATGCAAACAAAATTTCTCAAGATTATCAACTGAAAAATATGTCATTCATTCTGAACATGGGTTCTACTGCATCAAGTGGATCAAGAAACATCTCAAACATTGTAGGAAAACAACATAAGCAGATCAAAATTCTTACGAAACTGTAAAAGGTAGGGAGATAGTATAGGTTATACCAGGGTTGAAAAGAAATGGAAAAGTCTAGTTAACTGTAAGGATGGTGGAAGTCAACACATGTTCTATCTAATACCAAACACTTAATCAATCAATCAATCAATCATTTGTTGCTGTAGATTTTCCGGGTTGTGTGGCTGTGGTCTTGGCATTGTAGAACCTGACGTTTTGTCAGTAGCTGTGACTGGCATCCTGAGAGGTATAACACAAAAAGATGGAGTACTCTCTGAGTCAAGGTGAGAAGAAAAATGGTAGGCAGGTAATTTATATCTACTCCGGAAGGTGGGGTAGGGCTGAGTCATTATCTTGTAGGAGTTCCCCAGGCTATGAGCATGCTAATGGAGGAGCTTTCCTGAAGAGGTTCTTTTGTATATGGATTGTTTCCTGATGAGGTTCTTTTGTATGTGGATTGGCTGTTGAAATTCTAATCTTATCTGTAGAGCTATTGTCAGATGTAGAGCCTTTTGTGTTTTTCAGGACAGGAAACCATGCCCTATTTA